TGCTTTTATTATCTTTGTTGATCATAGTTTTGCTTCATTGAACTATATGGCAGATGAGCAATAGGGGAAGGATACCGAGGCACTGGAATTTTAAAGCTAACCTGCCTAGAGGGTACTTAAGTGTCAGACAGTGCTGTCTGGATTTAGAGATCCTGACTCTGCAGAGGCGCGTATGTGTAAGAACATTTATAAAAAATTACGTGTGAATTGAGACACAAGTTGCATAATTTTCAGTGGCTCTGTGCCTAACCTGTGCTACACGTCTCTTCTTCTTGGTAGTAAGCACACACTTACATTGGTTTGATGCTGGTAGTTCAATAGGCAGGACAGATAAACAGTTCCTTTTGGGTTGGTGATTTAAGCTCTGTTATCCAAAGGGCTAGCTCCAATCCACTGATTCCTTGTGTGGGAGAAAAAAAAAAACCCCAATGTTTCTGTGAAGTTTTGTGTTGCTCAAGGATTAAAATCAAGCAAAGCAGTGCTAGAAATACACTGAATCACTGAATCCACAAACCTGTCTCAAAGGAGAACCATCATCCTTGTACTCAGTATGAACTAGGGCATTTCTGAAACCATATGCTTTTTCTTGCTTGCTGGGAGTGGGTTTTGCTCTGTGCTTCAAGATAAAGCCCTTTGATGATGATTCTTTTAGGTTTAATTCTCAGTTTACTATCAGGTGTCGCTAGCAGAGATGTGAAAAACAGATGAACTTCCTAAAGCCAAGTACTGTGGAGAAGCAGAGCACAGAGTCTGGATTCCCGTCATTCACAGAACTGGCCTTCCAGGCCAGGGTAGATTGTGTTTTCGCCACCATCTGTTGTGTCTGGGGATGCCAATGCAATACTGGTCATGACCAGTAACCTTACACAGTTTGCTGTAAAAGAAAATATAATGTGAAGGAGTTTTTTTTGGTCATCAACAACTTCTACTGTTACGTGAATTTGTATGTGCTTTCAGAAGGCTGATTTTAAGAACAAATTATATGGCAAGAGAATGCATAACACATGTGAGAAATTGTCTAGGATTTTGGCTCTGAAATCTGTATTTGGGAGCTGACCAGTTTTTCAAGTTCTGACCCAGCAATATGCAGGTAACTTTGTTAATCTTTTGTTTAAAGAGTGCCTAAATCACTGCTAATGACCTCAACACTGTAGGAAACTTTTTCCATAGATTGTATTGTGCATTTAGCAGCTTCTGGTGATTTTTTCGCCATGTATTTAGAGCAGATTCCAGTTAGCATATGAGTAACATCATGTCAGTCCTAGTTCTTTCGTTCTGACATCTCTTTTGGCTCCTGGTGTGATTTGGCCCGGTTTTCCAAAATGTTGATCCTGAGTCCAAATGTAACTTTGTGGGTGGTACATATGTCGAGCCCTAGTTCAGTATTTTTGGACAGCAGTAGCATTTCATAATTCTTTTGAAATGAAAAGAAGAAACAAAGTTAACTGAAAAAAATGAAGCTAGATGTAGCTGGGCGCAAGCTCATCTTTTCTACTACCCCCTCAGCCCCCCTGTTTTTCCATTTGGAAAATTAGAAGTTTACGTGGCAAAAGCACTTGACAGGATTCAGGCTCATTCAGAGGAGCAAGCAGTAGCATGGCATAGTCTTTGTAACCTGTCTTGTCAAGCCCTGGTGGCCACTGAGACCTCCTGGGATGCAGATGAGGAAGATGGGGAGAGTGGAAGGTCGCAATCTTGTGTCTGAGTTTGTTAAAACAGTGAGCTAGGCTGAATTACCTAGATGGCTGAATGAGGCCATGTTGGCACTAAAAAAGCCAAACAACCCCCTCAGGTTCTCCGTATGTCTGTGTTTGATATACCTACAGCCATATTATATCTCTATATACAGCACACTATAAACAGCACAGGAAGCTGTAAATGCAACTTGATTACATAAAATCAAGTGAAATAGTCCAGAAGGTTGTAGCCTGTGTGAAACAAACACATGTACAAAGTACAGGAGGTTTCACAGGGCATAAATCAAAATGAGCTTCATAGCTTGCTTCCTTCCTTCTCTTCAGTGCGGTTGCTGAGCTGCTATCTGAAAAGCTGTCCTTCATCCATCCTTCTCTTGCAGCAAACCACATGCTCATATATTATTAATTCTGTTTCACTAGTAATGCAGGACACAGGTACTTTTTTCTAGAGTGTCTCAGGTTGCTTTTCAGTGTGTCTGTGCCAGTTCTACTGCTGAGGCTGCAGTTCTGAGCATTGTTTTTCAAGCGCTGATAATTTTCAGGCAATAGCAACATCAACAAAAAAAAGGATGTTTGAGATGAGTCTTGACACCCAAGGTCTGAGCCCAAGAGGTGATTTGCTGTGAGAAGCCATGAAACGAATCACTGTAGCCCTCTGGGCCTCCCTCACTTTGTTGCATAGCTTCAGGAGGTCATAGGCTAGCCAGCTGCCCTTCCCAATCTGCTGATGAAACAAGTTAGCTTCAGCCCTTGCAACACTCCCTCTTCCAGCATCCTAGCACCTTTGTGTCACAGTTGAAAGCCCTAGGGATGGTGGTCCTTCTGGTGGTTCCATAAAAGATGCTGGACTCGGCAGTGGGGAACATTCTTTTGAAGGACACCAGCCTAAATGATACCTTTTTCACCCCTCCTTTTTTTCCTTTGTCCTAAAGTGCAGTCCCTGTGAGGTGCTATGCAGGAGAATATAAGGAATGAGAGGAGAGAAGGAAGAAAACTTGGTCCCTGTTTTTGGCTACTTACAGGACAGTGTAAAGCAGGGGCTTCAGTCGTAAGTATTTGTAGCTATCTAATATGCAGGTAATATTGTTTGTGGGTAAAGAATGAGTTTGATTTTTCCTTTAAGAAAGGGAGTTGCAAGTAGTTAAGTCACATCAACTTAGTCTTGTTTGCTATTTGTAAAAAATACACACAACTTGAAAATCCACTAGGAATGGTTGTTTTGTTGGGCTGGTGGTTTGATTAGTCATTTGACTTTGATGCCCAGTGTGGACTCAGCTGATATCCTTTTAGTCAGTGTCAGAGCACAACTGGCTCTATGCAAGAAATAGGAAAGAGTTCAGACTCCTCCTTGAGGAGGTTTCGCCAGGGCTCCCAGTACTTTAGGTCCAGCTGGAAGCTCTGGGACATGTTCATGAACAGTCAGGGATGGTAAAATTCTTCCTCCACATTCAAACCGGGATATCCAAGTTGGTGAGTGAGGCAGAGGTATTAGCTTTTCCCTGTTGGAAGTAAAGGCAGGAACAAGAGCAGAGTCCATGACTGACTCATCCTTCCCAACAAAGTACTATTCCAGGATTTAAACATCAGGGAAGTTTTATCATGCTGGCTAGTTGTAGTGATTTGGGCCTTTTTGTTTGGTTTAAGAGCTAATCTGTTTGCCCTCCCCGGTACAAAATGCCATTTTAGATGCCCTCTCTACATTGTCTCTTATAGAGATGCCCAAGTATTGTGGTTATATACCCAAGACATTCTTCACTATGTGGTCTCCTATGAAGCACCCACTGTGTTTTGCAAACCTCACCTCGTTCCATTTGTGAGGATTTCACACATAGTAATGTTTTGTAGTATGGGAGTGGAGTCCTCCACTACTCTTTCTTCTTTGCATTTTGTTTGCTTTCCCTTTTTCTTCCCTCTCCTCTCACCCCCAAACCCTATTATGGACCCTGCCTGTGATTACTGGGAAATCCAAAGGTGGGCCTTAAATGTCTGTGCTACTCTCTTTAAGTCTGAGGCTTGCCTAGGTAACGCAAGCATGTATAGCTATGTAATACAACACCATTTATTGATTCCAGATCTATGCCATGTTTTGGTGAAGCAGGGGGCAGTTTGATTACAGTACAGGATTTCACCCTTAATTTTTAATTTCCTGCTGGGTTGTGTCACAGCTTTAACATCACTTAAACCTGGTCGAATGGGACTCCTCGGAGCTCGAGCAGCCAGCCCAGCTGGACAGCCACGCAGCAGGGGCTGGGGGGGGCTCAGAGGTTCCTTCCCTCCTCCCGCTTCTTCCCTTCCACTTTGGCGAGGGTTGCTGGCTCATGCGCTTGGGGGATGGTTTTGGTATCACCTCAAGGGCTTTGGGCAGGGGTGGGCCGGGAGGGAAGGCCAACATGCAGGGAAAGGCTGGGGAAGGACAGTTTTGTGGTATGAAGGAAAACTTGCCCCTCTGGGGTCGTGTACTTTAACCAAAGAGGGTCCACAGTACCTCAGCTCAAGCGTGTGTGATACAAACCATGGGACTCTATAGGTTAGGAGAATGACAGCTGTTTTTTTATTTCTCACTGGCAAAATTGCTCACTTTCTCACCTCACTAGTGTCAGCAGCTGGATGTGTAAAAGGTAGGGTATGCAGGTATGCGGTACACAGAATCAGAGCATGAACGTTTACTTCTCTTGTCTCTTGGCCATGGGAAAACTGCTGTGAAACGTGAAATCTCTGACAACCTTGACTGTTGCAGTCAAGGTCAAATGAGCACTAAATATCCTTGTAAGACTCTTCAGCATGTGAAGCTTGTCTTGGTTTCAGCACTCCTGAAAGGTGAGAACAGGACTGGAGAGCTGTTTCACACTGTGACTGTGTACACGTCCTGTCATTGCTCACCATTTCACGTTAACAGTGTGGATCTAGTCATTGGTTAGCTTCTTGGTGGGTTTGGGTTTTTTTTTGTTCAGTTGGTAGTTTTTTATGACACTGTATTACAGTATAGCTGCTACCATAGCCAACGATATTGTACCTGATTAGGATGTTATTCCAGTCCACCTCTTTTTCCTTGCAAGCAATAGGAGCAGCTTGGCATGTTACATATTGCCTTGTGTTCACTTTTCCTTTTGGTGCAATGGATAATTGTTTAGGGAAAATCTTTCCACAGAAAAAGAAATTTACATCTTGGTTCAAAGAGAGAGTCCCTAGGAAGAATAATGATTTTTTAATTTCTTTTTCTTTAAATCACAGCTGCTTGTTTCAGGGCACTGGGTCACTAATTGAGTGCAAGCTTTATAAATGTTGTTTGTCATCTCCCCACAGGGCGTACAAAACCATCGAGGAAGATGACTTGAAGTTTCCTCTTATATATGGAGAAGGAAAGAAGGTGGGCACATTTGCTTTCCTCAGACCAAAGGAGGAAGGAATTCTGTGCTGTTTACCGCTCGGTTTAGCCTGTGGCAGTCCAGTGTTTTCCACTCAGTATCTCTTTATTTCATCGTTTTGACAGCTTGAGAGAATATCTTGGTTCTGTCATAAATCAGTCTCGTGTCTGGGCAGAAGGAGAGCTCAACGTACTGAAAAGCATTTTTTTATAGCAAACATAGTCATTTACTGTTCAGTTTGCTTTTGTTTTTCTTTCTTCTTAAATAATTGACTTAAAATGTTCCTGGTTTCATTGTAAAATATAACTAAATGGGATGAAGATAGCAAAATACCTCATGTTTGCTGAAAACAAAGCAGGAGGATATTTAATAACATTTTAGAGTGCTCAGATATGCAAAACCCTGATTTAGGAAGGAGAGGGATCAGGGCAGGATTTGGGAAGTAAAACACACCCCTTACCATATCTTCTTCAGCTAGTCTATGTGAACTCACTGTTGAATTTTTCTCACATGAATGCTGATAGTTTTTCTTGAAAGGGAGAAACGAACCATTCCATTTGGGTGTACTTTGTTTCCAGCTTCGTGATTAAGAACAGTGAGATCATTAGTGCTGATCCCAGCAAGCTTAGCTGGATGCAGCAATAGGATCAATACAAGGACGCAGAGGTGTCAGTTTGCCAATATTGGTATGCTTGCTGTGTTTCTAAATAGTGGTCCCCTGCTGCATGAGGTTCTTATCTCAATACAAAAATACACGCTTTTCAACATTAGTCCAAGTTTTGAAGGTTCAGACCTGCAGCTTATCGTTGAATTTGTCTAGGTTTATAATTATTTGCAAAATGTTTTGTGCACATCTTTTTAATTTACTTCCTTATTGCCTTATGGAGCCAGGGGTTAGTGAGGCAAAATAATTCTGAGTCAGTTGCTCGCTGTTATTGACGCTGTGAGCTCTCTTGTTCAGAAGCTGCTGCGGCTAGAGTTTGGGGGAAATGATACGCGGACAGCAGAGAGTGAGGCTCCCCGTGAGGCAGCCTGCAGGGTCAATCTTTGGAGAAGCATTAATGAAGTAGAGCCCAGCACCTCTTGGGAAACAGCTTGCGTTGCAGAGGAAGGTGCTTGGGGAAGCTAGCGTTAGACCTGAGGTAACAGCAGACTTGCCTTGGACCGGCTCTCCACAGAGGAGAGCTCTGTGGTCAGTGCCACTGTCACCTGTGTGTTCAGCAATTTAAGATGGCCTTTGGCATTTTCCCTTGGTGGAGGGAATATACAGCAAGATGTCAACAGGAAGAGGCCGCAGCTTTCTTAGGTGAGTAATTAGACTCCTCATCCTCTTGATAAAACCTGTTTGCTATATAATTTGCTGAGGGAATGCTCTCGTAGACTGACACAGGACAGTGAGGCAACTGGATTAAGTTTCCATGGTCCCAGTCCCTTACAGATGGTCACAGTCTAAGATGGCTGTACACAGACTGGGGTGTGGACAAATACAAAGCTTGGAATAATGAGGGAAATGGAAATGATGTGAGTGTGAAAAGCTTTGAAGTCGATTAACTGTGTTAAATCTAGAGTTTCTGGGAGAGAAAAGGGAATTCATCCCTAACTGTAGCAGTTATGGAGTAAGAATGTCGTCTCTTTCACTGTTGACACAGTGCATGTAATAAGATTTGATCCCATTGCTTTTCTTTATTTCCAGGCTCGGGTTATGGCAACAATTGGAGTGACCCGAGGACTGGGAGACCATGACCTGAAAGTGCATGACTCCAATATATACATCAAACCTTTCCTGTCCTCATCTCCCGAGGTAAAACAGCAAAGGTTCAACTGTCCGATCAGTGGGAGAGAAACAAATATACCTAGTGTGCTTATTTGTTCTTCCCAAATTGTCCATTCTGATTGTGGTCCAATCCAGGTGGTAACATGCTGCCTTTCTCAAAGGTGTAGCATGTTAGTAACATCCACATAGTAGGAATGTTGTAAGTTTCCCAGCTGTGTGCCCTGGCTCTGGTTGCTCCACGTTCCTGGCAGAGCACTGATGCCTTCTCACTCCCTGGTCTACAGTTACCCTGCAGCCTCGCCACTCGGTGTGACAGACACCCGTCTCTCCCCACTTGCGTGTGCTCCAACTCCCCTTGAGGACTAGATCATGTTGCCTTCACAGAAGCTGATGTAAATCTCAGTTCTCCAGAAGGAAGCACTGCATGTCTTCCATGGTAGCGTAGTAACCTGCATTACACAGAGGATACCAGATCAACTCTTAAGCAGGAAAATGGCAAGAGCGATTGGAAGAGTGCTTTATGCTTCCATCTGTCTGCCCCTTCACCTCCAGTTTTTAATTCTTTATGAAAAAAACATCAGGAATGGCAGTGTGCATTCCCAAATGCTGGCATAACGAGGGGATTATGCAGTATTTGTGTTAGGGGTAGTTTTAAATGCCTCCATAATTTTGACTTGCCTTGCCACAAACAATTCTGTTTTTTCACCACCAGAGACATTGTACTGAAGGATATCAAGCCTTCCAAAGGGATCTGAATGTATTTGTTAACAGGAAACATGCAAACCTCGCTTTTTTTCCTCTGTAACTGCATTTCTGTTCCTACGTCAAGGAACAGATGACACATATTTTTCATAAAATATTAAGCAAGGGCAAGCCTTCTGATGACAGCACAGAAAGAGGAGGCGTGGCTTCCATGGCCCAAATGCTGAGAGCTGTCCACTGTCAGCTGGCTTGCTGGAGTTTCAACCATACCCAGTATCTGACCTTGAATTTATTGCTTGCTATAGCCGTGTGAGAGAATAAAAATACACAAATGACATAATACTGCTAGAAAGGAAGAAAATTATTAAGTTAACCTTGTTTAGAAAATCTTTGAGACTTGAAAAATAAAAATTAAAGAAGTACTGAGATATTCTGGCCCTGAAGAAAAGGGTGATATCTACAGACAGCCACTCATCCCTGTTTCCTTGCTGTCAATCCAGTACCTTCCCTCTGCCCCCTTTGAATGTGTGGTATCCCTCACCTGGGACCTGCTCCTGTTCTCCTCAGCCAGGCAGGCAGCAGCTCTTCTCTCATCACTGTGATGGATCTGTTTAGTGCCAGCAAAATGATGCAATTCCACCTATTTATTTTTCTTTCTGGGACGCTGAGACCCAGCATTTCTGGGATATGTAATGGCTGCAGCACAGTATCTCAGCAGTATCATCTCTGCCAATTGCTGCTGCAGTATTTGTCTGTGTATATAAACCAAAGCTTCTCATGGGCTTTTCTGATCTGTGTAGAGTGTGTCTGTACGTGTTCAAATTCTGGAATATGACATCCAGTTCATATGCTATCCACGTTTCAGGATCTCTTAACTGCTTCGCAAAAGGGAAGCAAAATTGGCTTTGTTTCTACATTCCCTTCACAGCTAAGTTAACAGAAATGTACAAGGGCAGGAGGAGGAAAGACAGAGCACCAGCCACCTCAATTTAGAGATACTGGCAAAAATCAGCCCTGAATTTTATGAGAAAGTAACATATGATCCAACTTGCTTTCCATTGCACCTCCTTCTCTTAATCATCTCTTCCCAGAGAGAGACCCAGTGCTTTATCTCCTTGTGTTTTTCCCTGACTTGTTCTGTCTACACATGGACAGTGCACCTTACACAGAAGCTGGCATTAAGAAACAACGTCTTGTGCTGCCATCTGGGAAGATTGGCACTTGGAACTAAAGGCAGTGGCGTCAAGCAGCAGCCGTACTTGGCCCATGTGCAGCACTGGCTTTCAAAGTGTTTATATAGAGGTAGGGAAGCACAATGTCTGGTTTCTAGACCTGGAAGAGGGGAGGCACAGGAAATTAAGGAGTGCACAGAGAGTCGTGACAGAAGGAGGATCCAAGTCCTCTGGCTTCTGTTTCTGTGCATCCTTTCCCAAGTTGGGAGAAATGTGGTGAGTTTTCAGGATATTTTATTTCCAGCGTGACAAAGCTCCAGTACGCAATGTCCACCAAAGTCTAGCTGGAGGGAAAGGTAAGCGTCCCTGAGACTACATCCAGAAATAGGCATATAACAGTAATTTGAGGGTGGTGTGAAATGATGCTTTGATAGAGTGCCAGGCTATGGGAGGAGAAGTCATGTAGCCAAGACTGACAAATGTAATCAGGATTCAGTGGCTCAGCTGTTATGAGACCAGATTTGGAGGACTTCTGCAGGTTGGTGAGCTCTAGAGAATTGAGCCTTTTATAATGAACTGGAGTATCACAAAGCAGGGAAGCCATGGCTGAGGCTCTCTGGCATGGAATTAAATAGTTATTTTTCATAACAGGAAATTCTGCTTTTTAAAGCTCAGCAAGATCTGCCTTCTTGCAGCTGAAAAGCAAAATTTCATCCTGAAATTTTTTTGAACAGCAGCTCAGCTGTTTGGTGGGAGAGGTGTGGCTCTCACGGCAGCATTTGGCCCTTGCCAGCGATGAACCTGAAGCCAGCCACCACAGCAAATTATAAGAAGGTAATGAAGGCGAATTTTTCTCTCTGGTAAAATCTTTGACAACTCCACAAATGTGTCAAAGGAGACCGATTTAGATTCACATCTGCCTTCTGGAGAAATCCTTAGGAATTACACTGTTTAAAAGACAAAGCAAGGCAAAGACTTAGAGGAGTACAGTGCAGTCAAAGGGAGTCAAGGTGGTTTCAAGAAGCAAACGTCACAGTTTAGTGGCTTGAAGTCCTTCAGGGTTATGTCTACCAGAGAATTAAAAATCAATCAATAAATAAATGCAGTAGATGGTCTTGCATGAGCACTTTGATTTCTCAGAAAACGTTTGAGAAACTGTTCTGCGTCGCAGGTTATTAATGTAAAAGATACAAAGCTACAGACTAAGTGGAAAGTTGGCACAGTGTACTGGAAATTGGCTAAAGGGCAGGAAACAAAGGGTGGCAGTAAAAAGCTAAAAGGAGATTAATTCGCGAGTGCTGCAGGGAGCAGTGTTGGGACCCGCTTTTTATTATTTACATATAAATTACTTGGAGGGTGGTATTGAAAGATCTTGTCGTTTGCCAGCGAAGCTGTGCTGGATAACCCTGCGCATAAAAAGGGACGATACAATTAAGAAAAGGCTTAATTTATTAAAGTAGCTGAGTTGATCAATAGTGCTTGCGAGTGAATGCGGGCTGCTGTTTGGCTCGAATTCCCCCAGGGCCACGGCTGAGGAGCACCTCAGGTGGCTGCAGGCTCGCATGTCGCTTGGTTGTGAACAGTTTTCCAGCCACAGGGACTCGTGTTTGCTGCCTCTTCAAAACAAACCTGGCAAATCAGCCGCAGCGCCTTCGCAGAGCTGCTGTGGTCCTTCTTGGCAGCCAAACGCAGTATCTGTCTGCTGGGTAGATCTGTTTGAAATGTAAACCTGAGACCGGCCCACCTGTTTGTTCTTTGCTTGCCCAGAGCATTTTACTCCGTGCTCTTGACTACATGTACGTGAGCAATATGAGAAACAAATACCTAGGTTGAAGAAAGGCAATATGTGGCAAACTGCATAGCGCATGTTCAGAAAGATGTTGTGTGTGACTGTGCTCTAGCGGTGCGTATCCGTGTTACCTACCAGCAGAGATCTGTGAGTACCAGTCAGGATAAAGTACAGTGTAACCCAGTGCTTATTGTCGTGGATGCTTGTGCTACTGAGGTTCTGGTGCTCCTTCCCTATAGTTAGCTTTTTACATTTTCTGGTTACTAAAGTCAGGTTTAGCTAGTTAACAGGTCAGCTGCTCTACATAAAGTAAGACATCAGTGAATGGTAGAAGTATGGTGACCAAACTGGGCTCCTTTGAGGGCTGCCCTGATGCTCCAGAGAGATGTTAGAGTGAGAAAGTTTGCCAGGGCAGCACAGAAGGGGCTGGTAGGCTGGGGGGAGTTGGTGGTAAGGCTTTTGGGACAGCATGTGAGGCGGAGGACAGAGTGCAGGTAGCCCAAGGGGTCTGGGGCAGAAGACATGAGTTCTGTGGGGCACTGTCAGAATTAACATCTGGCTGCAGAAGCAGTGAGTCTTGAGGGAAAGACTGAAGATTAGGGGTGGAATTGCTAGGAAATTTGCTAGGAAATTTGCTGCACGCACCAGTTAAGGAAACTGCTGCGGTGCTGGATGATGTCTGGCCGGCTGTCATCTGCGCTAACAGGGCTATGTAATACTGTTCCGCCGTGCATGCAGCTTTGTGCAAACTTATGCCACAGACTGATTGCTTAAACCGCACTGTTGTTTAGTTTCTTGAAATACAGCTGTGGGAAAGAGGCAGTTGCTAGGTAGGTTGGCTCTGGAATTGAAAAAAAAAAAAAGGAGAAATTTAAAAAGTAGTAATTTCCATTGGAGGCAAGGAGCTGTTTTCGGTCACATAAGATTTAGAGAGCTGTGGGGCTGCTTGCTGTTGCAGGCACTTAAGTAACTCCCTGGATCTCTGCTTGTCTTTCTGCAGCTGGCATATCGCACTCCCTCGCCTGTTTTGTACAGGGTGTGTGGAGTATGCTGTGGGGTGTCGCACAACGTGGGGTGTGTGGAGTGGATGTTCAGCGAGCTCGACTGGTCTGAGCATCTATTATGTGCGCCTTGGTGGTGCTGCCCAGCCTACATGCCTCCAGGAGCTCTGCTGTCGCTCTGCTCCGCGTCCCGCTGAAGGCACGTGTCGCTACCGCAAGAGACGCCCACTGAAAATAGGAACGAGAACAGCGCTGCTAGCAGAAAAGTGAAGGGTTAGGAGCTGCCTTGTTTCTGTGCCTGGGCAAGGCAGTCTGTGAGCATCACCTGAACCTACAATATCTCTCACCCCGCTGCCCTTCACTGCACCTCTTCTGACATCGCGTTCTTTCTCAGTGGCACCCTTTTCTGGAGGTGCTCAGTTCACAAAGCTTTTGCTTTTAGGAAGTAACTACCTTATTCCCACATTAGCAAGAACACATTTAGTATTTTGGGAAGAGAAAAAAAAGATGCAATCACTGATTTTACAGGTAAAGTGATCTGTTCTTGGTGTTGCTCTAGCATTGTACTACACTGAAGATTTGGACCTTTTGACCAGTGGATTGGCTGCAGGTAGCTTTCACAAGTTTTGTCTGCCCCAGTGCCGCTCCCCAGTCAGACAAGATTGCTCATTTCAGGAGGATTCAAATTAGTGATGCATGGTCTTGGTTTCCTGCCTTCTTCCTCACCGACGCTGCGAAAAAGGCACTCGTGGTGTAACGTTTCCTTTGCCTGGGTAGGAAAGCCATGATGGTTGTGGTTTTGCTAGTGCTGATGTTTGAAGCTTGGTTATTCTTACAACGGGCTTGCTGCTGAGTGCATCCCTGAGCATTATTCCTGATGCTCTCTCAAATATTTGCCCGTACCCAGGAGGTCTGACCAGAACAGGCGCTGCTTATTGATGGCTGTGTTGGCCAACGTACCCCTGACCCCACAGTCATTTCTGAGGTGAAACCCTGGGCTGTTATAGGCTGAACTAAGTTTGGGGGAATGGGGCCTATGACAGCTACTGTGCAATGGGCTCGAGAGGAGAGCTGTGCTGCATAGAGGGGTCTTTTCTGTAACAGTATTCCCACTCAGTCTGAATAAGGAGATATGCTCTAATGAAGAGAGTATCTTGCCTTGACTTTAATCCTCTCCTTAAGTCCTTATTCAGCTACTACCTTAGATAATGAAGTGAAGGTTACATTTCACAAATGACCTTCTTGTGCTTTAGAGTGAAAGACGAACAGGTAAGGATTAGCAGTCAGGTCTAGGTGATATTTTTTTTCACTCCTCCAGAACTGGTTGCAGTTCCATAAAATCATAATTACGTTAAAAGGCTCAAGCATTTTATGTGCATTGCCTGCTCCGTGGCTCCTAAAGAGAGAATGCACCAGGAGGGAGAATAAAACAGCTCATATTTTCTAGTTACGCCAAGTGCTTGTCCCGACAAATTTCCTGACTGACGCTGCTGTTAGTGGAGCCCGAGGCCGGAGCAGGCTGCGTGACAGGGTGCACCGTTTCCAAACTTGAGCACAGATGATCGTTTCCTCCTGTCTGTCGTGCCAAGGCTGTCACAATTCTTTCAAACTGTGGTTGTTGCTGTGGTAATTAAAGTGCTCCGTGAGTGCTTCCTAACGGCTCCCATCGCAGCCTGGGAATTGCAGGCGGTTTCTCAGCTGGAATGCAGCGTGTGCTGGAGGGAGAGTTACACCCAACTAAAGGCTCATTTTAAAATGCTTACCATGACCTTTGCTCATATTATGGCTTAGCTGAAGGCCTGCTGGCCCCCCCGGTGTCTGCTGCCGGTTTCCCCAGCCTCGTCGGGAAGAGGCTGGTGGAAGTTGCTGTAAAGGAGATGCCAGCAGCAGTGGTCAGCCGGACTCTGGCTGCAGGCTGATGAGGTGAAGCCAGTGCGCATTTTAATAGTGTGGACAAGCTTGGGGGTTCACTTTTGTGCAGATCTTGAATTGGTCTCTACCCACTGAACTCCTTACAGGTAAACATAACTGAGCAGGTAAGTAGTTTCTCTCCATTTCGTCGAACTGCTCACTTGCTCAGGCATAATTCTTGAGTGCAGTGGCTGCCTCAGGTCTAGAAAAATGAATGTGGTGCCTTCTGCAACACAGGCATTTCCGAACATGCGCAATTTATCTGGCAGAGTTAAATGGATCTGGGCAAACAGTGAAAGCAATTATTTGTGAATATTTTATTAGAAAATATCAAAAATTCATCAAATGAATTATTCAGCTTCCATATGACTAGTCCTGCCAATGATAGGGAAGAGCCTCGCACGCCGAACCAGGATGCTGGGTGGGAGAGGCTTCGAGCACTGCTGGCAGCAGGCAGTGCAGTGCTTTACAGCCTTGCTAAGGAACACTTGTGTCCATCCCAGCACTGGAGCCACGCTGGGTTGGGAAGAGTTCCCAGCTCAAGGGCTAAACTGGAGATAGACCCCAGCAGTGCTACGGGAGAGGTATTTCAGTGCCCTGGCCGAATCTGTGAACTCACAGCCAAACTGAGCAACGTTTCACAAACAGATCTGGTGGTCTCCTGCTTCATGAAATGTCTCTTGGGTTTTTTTTTTTGTTTTAGGTGAGAGTCTATGACCTCCTGCAGTATGAGCATGGGCCAGATGATGTTCTGATCCTAGCTACTGATGGACTCTGGGATGTGCTGTTAAATGAAGAAGTGGCAGAAGCTGTCACTAACTTTCTACCAAACTGTGACCCCGATGATCCCCACAGGTTTGTGCTCATCCCTGACTTTTTCTGCCTTCTCCGTGGAAATGAGAGTGGTTTTTGGTAACGTAGTTTTGTAGAAAGTATGATATGAATAACGTTCAGTAAAGATTCACTTAAAAGAATACATTTTTATAAGCTGGATGGAGTCTCTGCAACAAATATGGGGTTTGGGGTGGGTTTTTTTTCCTGTTATAAGTCAGAATTGCCTACCTTCAAAGGAAAAGTTGTGGGGTCACAGTATCTTGGCATGGGATCCATTTTGTTTGCTCTGCTAGGTCCTCTGGAAACTACAGGAGGGTGAGGTCTTAGAAGAACATGGCAATAGGTCTCTGCCTCCAGCAGTTTTCCACTTAACTCTCTTCGAGATAGTCCCTTAACACTAAAGATTGTTTCTCCCTAGGGCGTCAGCAGCATATATCTCCCTCTTTCTCACTGTATACATGTATAAATACTGCACAGTGTGGTTCCCACTCATTGCTGGTCGTGCTGTGACCTTTAAACCCACCTTCAGTAGGGCATGCTCACCGCTACCAGCTGCGGGACAGGTGTGGTGACAAAATAGGTGGAAAGTCTGACTATTTCAATCAGTTGGATTCTGTTTCATTTCACGATGTTAACCTACCTTATCATCTTCGTTTTCCTGTCTTTATCCCCTCTTACTTGATCAGCTGCTCTGTTTAAAACATACCATCAAGCAAACAAAAAAGTTCCCAAACAACCAGCTGAAGTGCTGCCTTGAGTGAGTCCGTCAGTCTGCTGCTGAGTTCAATGTCGCCATGAATTAAAACATTGCACTAGAGATCAGAAGTCTCTCGCTTGTAAAAGGGAGGACTGTGAAAGTGGAAAGAGCTTCATCCTTCCCTAGGGGCTGTTCAGGAAGGGAAGTGTGTGTTGCTCCTGAATTCAGGCCTGGCTGTCGCTGTCTTCTGCCTTCTGCTTAGGCTAAGCATGAGGAAGAGAGCTTTTGCGCATCCCCAGTTGGCCTGTGGAAAGTGGAGCTTCAGAAATAAGCTCTGGGATATCTCGGCATCAGAGTGAAAACACGCGGGATGGTGCGAGAGCTCAAGTTACAGTTGTTCAGATGGGGCAAATCTTCAGGACTCAGGGACACCCATCTCAAAACGCTTGGTGTTTCTCGTGTTTTGAAGTGGTCATCTTCACGGGGCCAGCCCTGTTCTCCAGCAGCAAACAAGGAAGATAACTGGGACACCCTGACAGCTACTGGGCGTTACAGTGAGAGCAGCTTTAAAGTAACTCACGAGCAGAATTCTCTTGCCCTGACACAAACATGGAACACAAACCAACGTTTTGCTGCAAGCACTCAGTCTTCATGTGAATAAATGGTTAGCATGAAGCTGCAACTGCGATGTTTTGACCTTCCCCATCTCCTTGCGCTGAAGAGGAGATGTGGTATGAATGACAGCCAGGGCTGTCTCTACTTCAGCAAGACATGGAAGTGTCTGTGCCCTCTTGCTGAGAGGAGATCAGGCAGCGCTAGCAAGGGGCCCTTCCAGGGCATCTGGCACTGTGCTATGCAGATATGCCATTAATTTAAGGTAGGAGGAGATGACGCGCCCATCTGCTTCCCGTTACACCTCTGAATGGTGCTAGGGAGCTTTTGCTCTCATTTCTGCACCCCTGAGTCTTCTCTTGCAAAGGCATCTGGTAAAATCTAGTACCTCTGCCCTGCTCTGTCTCCATTCTCATCCAGTAATTGTGAAAGGCTGGCTCTTCCTGACATCCTTGCTGGTCCTGTCTGTTGTGAATAGTCTGGGTGGGTTGTGTCTGTCTTCTTCCTTTGAGTCTTTCCAGAGCTGGTGATGGCCACCACATTTTCTGCAGTAGGAACGGGAATTCTTCGTTCAATCTTTTGACTTGTTAGGTGAGTAGTTTTTCATCTGTTACAAAGCGCTCCTAGAAATCAGAGACACTAAAGGGAAAAAGAGATTTTCTTTGTTTCATTTAGATTTGTTTCTGCTGGTCTAGCCACAGTAATTGTGGGAGATTAGTCCCTCTTTGTGCCAGCCTGGGTACAACACACTCCAGAACTGGGCTTGTTGTATGATGAGTTAGAACAAACACATTTATTAGTGTTTGACCTGCTGGTCTGTGAATGGACATCTGAATTGAAAATTAATTTGTTCTTTTAAGTAACTTTGTGCCAGGTCATTTAGAGGCTTACAAATAGTGGCGGCAAGACATTTCTCATGCCAGCTTGCAGAAGGTAATTAGAGCAGTCCCTCATATAGTTTACAATGATATTTATGAAAATTACCTTTGTGGAATTGCTCTTCCTGCTTGGTTGTAAAGAATATTTAAAGGGTTTAAAGTACAGTGTGAGTGGTTTCACATAATTACTTCGCAGTGGTCCAAATGAGGTATAACTAATGAATAGCATAGCAGCTCGGACTGTGGAGCTGCATTCATTTCCTCTCACTAGTCACTGACAGGGAAATCTTGTTTGCTGTATTATCAGTGTTGTGTTTAAAGGAAATGTTATCCCACAAAATGTCAGGTTCTGTGATGAGTGTAGTGACATAGTCTGTGGTGAGGTGATCAGCTGGAAACGTGAAATCTCCAGGGGTGTAGAGAACTTGTCAGAGTGTAAGAGACTTGCCCCCTGGGTTTGGTAATGCTGTGGTCTTCTGCAGAACCTACCTGTGGAGCAGACTTTGGATCTGCCTGACCCAGTAGCCTACTAAATGCCTGACAGCAGCATATTGGAGCAGACTTTGGATCTGCCTGACCCAGTAGCCTACTTAATGCCTGACAGCAGCATATTTAAAAAAAAAAAAAAAAAAGCTAGGGAGGAAGATTTTAGAGCTGCAGAGTACTTCTCTGTTACATAATTAGCTGTTTGAGGGAACAATATCCCTCCCGTTTGAACCAGAAGCCGTTTTATAGGCTGATGGGTAGGAGCTTGCAGCCCTCGGCAATGCTCTTGGGACTCTCTCCTGCTGATATTTACTATCAGAACTGTGAGTGTTTGTTACCCAGAGAAAAACATCTTTGAATCCTGTCAAACACAGCCTGTGCCTGGACATCTCCAAGTGCAGGGAGAGCGAAGTCCTCGGGTCTGTCTTCACCCAGATACGCAGACACAGCCTCAGGGGATTTGGGCAGCGGGTGATGGGCACAGACTTGATTAGAGAACAGTTCCTCCACGGGGGCTGGGGCGGAGTGCAGAAGCTGGCATGGAGCTGGATTTCTTTGCCAGCTCATTTCCTGTGGGTATTGTGGCAAACAAGAGTGTGAAGGGGACCCGGAGTGAAGAACAGGTGGTAGCGACGCGCTGCTGCTTTCCGTACATCATCCCTCTGAAGAGGTATGAAGACAGGGAGGCATGACTCTTGCCCATTTCCTTCAGCGCACTTACGCTGGTTTGCCCACTGACCTTGGGAATCTTTTATGTCTTGTCCTCCCTCCTGTCTTTCTCGTTCCCTCTCACTCTCTCTCTCACACTAGCGAGAGATTTATGAGGGTGCTGGGGAGTTGCTCCACCTCTGCTTGGTGTGAGAAGTTAAGAAGCTGCTCAGACAGCAGCATATTTCCCCCACTGTCACCATTTCTCCTGCAGTACTTTCACTGATCAATACTGAAAGCTTCAGCAGAAGGAAAAAAAAACCCATACATATTTATTCTTAAAACACAAAAGTTGTATTCTAGCAAGGCTGTTCATTAGGAGGAAGTGGATACTTTAAAACTACTTCAGCAGTTCTCTAATGCTGTCTCGACAGCTGAATCCCAAGTTCACAGCGCTGGAGAATAAAGCATGCAGTAATGGACTGCTGCTGCTATTCATCTCCAGGTACAAGAGACTCACCCTATCTCCTCTAGTGCCAAGTTGAACAGCATCGCTTCAATTCAGCTCTACACAAGGAGAGGAATATGTTACCTCGCTGCTGCATTCACCTGTTCCTTTTCCTTTGCTTCGATGTGCTGGTTGTCTTGTGTATTTCACAGTCTGTCTACAAGAGAATTTCTGGCTTATTAAAATTCCTTTTTTTTATCATGCCTTCTCCAAACGTTAAGCAGCAAAAGCTTTACACAATCAAGAGCAATACTAATTCCTTTGTACTCTTTAGATGTGGGGAGCCTTTGTTAATTAGAAAAAGGAGGAAGGCAAAGTTTTCTCCCAGAATGATGGGTGTTTTCTTCTCTTAAATTCTGACAATAGCTGAGAAATCCTTGGAAAATATGTTCTAGCCAAAATTCACTCAGCATCAGACATGCTGTGAACAAATATTCCAGTTTCTCACTTGCCACCTGGAGTCCTTTTGTTCCTTAGCCCTGCATCTGATTTGGGGATTTGGGAGCTGGGGAGTGCAAGTATGTACGTTTGGGGTTTTTCTTCTTAGAAAATACTGTTTCGTGTTGCATTAGGTCAATAGGGGCAGTGCTTCTTGTTACACCCTGCTGTTACACCTCGAGGTCCTTGAAACAGACTTAGCTGGAACCTGCAGACAGTGTGCACGTGTGTGTGTGCGCGCGCGCGCATGTGTTAGATTTCGTGCCTTGGGCCCTCATCACTAAAAGTAAACCTTCTGTCAAAACTAGCAAGGGCTGGAAATTATATCACTCGGTACCATTAGGAGCAGGGGGTGCATTGCTTCTGTACAGCGTTACTTGGGTTTAACATCAAACCTTTTGGGTAGTCAAATGTTGGCTTATTTGCATTGAACAAATCTTTATAGCTGACCAAATAAGTCTATTCCTGGTTCAAAATTTAAGTTTGAGGCACCAAAACTGTAGAAACAGAACATAATTGGGTTTTTTCCCTTCTTTTATCCCCAGAGAGTGAAAAAGTCTCTACTGATAGAAATTACCATTTAATAATGCATTTTGTGGTGAATATTTCTGGTGTCGGAACCTGGATACTCGGTAAACATCCACACACACACTGCTTCTCATCAGTGGAGATACTGTTCTTTCCCATTCCTCAGACAGGATCTGGGCAGATCATTTTTGGCCCAGAATCCTCCCTAGAAAAGGCGTTCCTGAAATGCAAACCCTTCTTGTCCTTCCTGGTTTCTGGAAGCTACAGAGGTGTGCTCAGCTTCTGGTGGCCTGTGTTTGGCTTCATAGAGCCCTGCTTCATCTTGGAGGTTTATGCTTCAGATAAAACACAGGCAGACACAATATTGAACTGTTTTTTCTTGTCAGTCTTTTCACTGATTAATTTACAATTATCAAATCATAGAAAAGCTTGCCTCCACCTAACCAAATTCAAAACATCTCAGCCAGGTGTTGGATTGATGAAGAAAAACACGTGACAGTAGCTGTTCACCCACAGTGAGATTTCTTTCAGAGGCAACCTCTAGATGAGGACACAATGTGTTGATCTAGTAACAGCAGGTAAAACGATAAGGGAGAACATGTCGGAGCACTCTCACGCACCACCTTTTGGACTCTGACATGTTTCTTCCCCCAAGCAGCATCTGTTATTTTCTCAGGGCACAAATCAACTCCCATAAATCCAATGCTGCTCAGCCCAGCAGAGGCTGGGAGTTTTGAAGCAACATGAAACTTAGTTTTTCACTAAATTAAGCACTTGACAACTCGCATTCACACAGTTTTCATTGAACTCATAAATGTGAAAGGACTGTGGGACTCTGTTAATGTGGCTGTATTAACTGTAAGTTTCCTTTTCCAGTTTCAGAAGAAAAGCTGTTTAAAAATCATTCTTACGGTCAAGGAAAACAGACAAGTTAGTCTACTTGCTTTAAAGTGTAACTTGGATTTTATTTTTAGTGCTCTGTTACATTCAAATCACTTTGTTACGGTTTGTCTCGGAAATAGTCGACCCATATTTACCTTCAGATGTTTCCGTCCACAAGGCTGTAGTTTTTAACAACAAGTAGTGTTGTTTTGGGTCCTCAGTTTTTTTCAGAGTACTCCTAGGAAGCAGATTTATTAAGGAAAGTTTTAGTATTTTTCTGAAACCCAAAATGATGGGTGACTTTTTGATCGATCGGTGCCTGTCAGATACCTTCAGGTTCTGATGCAGGAGCCATCACTGAACTGGAAGGGGTTGTTTTGTGGGTATGCCGGCTGTGGTTTGCATTTCTCTGGGAAAGCACTGGGAAGCTCGTCCTGGTAGCCCACAACAGGAAACCTGGCAGGCTGTGAAGCCCACTTCCCTCGTGAAGACGAGCGCTCCCTGGCTGTGTTCTGCCTTTTCCACAGGTACACGCTGGCGGCGCAGGACCTGGTGATGCGAGCTCGGGGAGTGCTGAAGGACCGGGGCTGGCGAATATCCAACGACAGGCTGGGCTCTGGAGACGACATCTCTGTCTACGTCATCCCTTTAATACACGGGAACAAACAATCGTGAAAGTAGCATCAAGAGTGGTTACAGGATGGAGATCTTTTGGGGAAGGGCCTGTAAGAGACAAGATGTTTTTGGTGATCTGACCAGGACACTTCCAATTGATGTAATCTACTCAAAACTAATGCTGGAGGGGTGTTCTTCTGCCTGAAAGGTAGGGCTCTGCACATACACTGTAGATGATTAAAGATGACCCTTAAGATTACAGTTTCCCTGTAGAAATGGTTTTGGTGCTTAACAGGAATGGGATTTAAATGCTGCTAGCATATTATGGATTCTGTCGTCCCTCCAGGTGGGGACTTTTTTTTTTCCTCTGTTTACCATGTAGCTTGGAAGAGCCATTTCAGTTGTGAAAGTAGAAGTAGGTATCGGAAGCCAAGGAGGCTCCTGAAGTCTACCCCCAAATACTCAGAAGGTGACTCGGGTCACATCTCATTTAAAAATACCTATATATACATTTACGAGACTCAAGAGTTTTCGTCTTTCAAGAAGTTGCATTCTATGACTTACCTATGGACAACTTCAAACTTGTGTAATCCTTTGAACCCCCATTTTCCTCGTCTGTCTCTTCTTCAGTAGACTGTACTTCTGTATTCTAGTAGGAAAACTGAAATTGTGTTCAGTGTGACTATGCCTGTTTACTGCAGCTAAAACAGCCACCTGCAAAATTGACCAGGAGAAATTAAGTCACAGTCCTGTATGGCAAGATTTATTCTGGTGTGAGGAGTTCCTTGTCAAGATTCCCTGTTGTGTGTATTGTACAGAGCACACAAACTCAGCTTTAGGTGGTGTTTACCTGGAGGCCATGGTTTCTTTGGGATCAGAGATTTTCATTCATGGAATGGTTCTGCCTGCTTTAATCCTGTTGAAAGGATCCCTGGCCATACAGCTTTCACATCAGTTGGGATTCAGTAAATTTATTTGGGCTCCTCAGTGTATTTTTAGTTGGATTCCTACTGGTGGTATAGTTCTCGTCATCAGTTTAGATACCCAGATAGTGATCAATTGAAAAGTCATTTCACTTCTTCCTGCCTCGCTTATTACTCAGTGTACCTTTGCCTGCTTGACTTGGGGATCGGAAAGTGACAGCTTGTAGCTTTGTCCTCTTGGGATCGAGGGCTGAAGTCAAGGATCAGAAGATCACTGTGATAGATACAAGCCCTTGGCTGGCTTCAGCAGCTTTTTTCTTAGCAGTGTTGAATCGATTTAAGAAAAAGCTGAGTGAAACATTACCAGAGTGAAAGCAGTAGTCTGAGAGGGAAACAAGTGAGCAAATCAGCAGCTTAACCTGGCTGCCTGTTCTTCAGACAGGCAGCTCTCTGACTTCACTGGTTAGCGTGTAGGCAGGTACGTTGGTGAGGGAGCCAAATTCAGCCTGATTTGCCCCCAGGCCACCTTCTTGTGGAGCTGCTGATCTGGCCGGTACTTCTGGGATAGCCCAAAGATGGGGGGCTGACTGGCAGCTCACAAATGCTGTGTCCTTTCCAAAGCAGGAGGAGGATGCTGTGCCCTTCGCAGACCCTCTCCTGAGCAGGCGTGGCCGAGAGCTCGCCAGTTTTGTCGTTTGTAACGCGCTACGTGAGCACCGCGCAGCGCGTGTGCCGTAAGGCTGCCCAGGCGCTTTATTTGATCGCAGCCGGGAGGACACGTGTGGCACTCTCGGTGGATTTAAACTACCCTGGCTCTGAATCTGTGAACACCCAGCAGGAGTCTGAGGTCGAGAGAAGGCAGTGCGGCATGTCTGACGGCTCAAACATGCAGCAGACTGCGTGTTTTTAGCCTGAAAACTGTTCCGTGCGTTCCCCAGTGCCTGCATGTGATGAAGCTGTGCAGAACACGAATGTTTTATGCTCTAGAGCTTCAGCATAAATCAGCGGCATCTCTGATTATGTGTTGTCATACTTTACCTATTCTTTCCTGGTTTTTTTTTCCCTTTACCTCTTTTTCTGTGTGCAGCTGGGTGAAGAGAGAGGTTTGGAGTCTAGAATATTTTCCACATGGCCCCCCATATGTTTTAAAGTCTAAGCAAGAGATCTCTTGCACTTTTTTTGGGGGGGCCTAATAAACTTGTAAACATGCTTTTCACGCTCTGCGTAACTCCTGTTGTCTCTCCGCAACCGCAGCTGTGTAGCTCTGTAGCAGTTCGGATCCTCTGCCACAAAGAAACTAATGCGGGCGGTTTCGGCCGAGTTGTCTGAACAGCAACGCAGCTGGCGCTTGCTGGTACCAGCTGCGAGCCGGAGTCAAACATCTCAGTGCCCGTGTGCTCTTAGTCTGCGTTACTTGGTGACACGGTGTCCACACGGGTACCAGTCATTACACAACCACTGAGTACAAGGTGGTGGAAATACATTTCCAGTGTCGCATTTGCCAAAATTTAGAAGTGTAATTTCAAGGCAGTGGAGAACGCACCTTCTCATTCAGGGCTGTTCTTAAACGTCCCCCTGGAGAGAGAGAGGGCTTGGCAGAGCGCACGACTCAGTAGGAGCAAACCGGCTGGTGACTTCTCAGAGCAAAACCTGGCGGGCGCCGGTATGGCTCGGTGAGCTGGCCGCTGGCCGAAGCATTGCTGTGAGTCAGCCCGCTTCTCTGCAGCGGCTGGGCCCAGGGGGGGGTGTGTTGGCTGTTACTCTCTCTCCCCCTCTCTCCTGGAAAGGGTGGAAGTGCAGTATCAACAATTAATACCAATTAGCATCAAGTAATAAATTCTGAGAACTTAAAAGGATAATAAAAAGCTTCCTACTCAGATGTCTGTGACTGAAACTGTGCTCCCATGCTTTTTGTTTTGCTTTTTTACAAAGTGTCTGTTGTACATTACCTGCTTGCCTCCCTGGAGCGTCTCTGGGACATCTCTGGTTCGCTGTGTCTGTACTTGGGCTTTCACCTCTCTCTGCTTTCAGTAGGAGCTTCCCGTGTGCCTGCTCTCTGCTCGGCTTCAAGGCGCAGTATAAACACGTGCACACACCAAAGCATCGTAGAAGTAGGCGGCAGGAGTCATTTACTGGGGAGCTGTTGTGTGAGAAGCAAGAAAAATTAAAAGCATTTCCAATTCCCTTTATAGGTGGAATTGTTCTGGGAGTCGCGGCATTAGGAACCCCTGATGGCAGGGCAGCCCCGTGGCGCAGCGCCGTTTTCCAGGTGGCACAGGGTGGATATTGCCCCGTGCAGACTCGCAGCTGCTCTAGGGCTCGGTGAAGCTCCTGGGCTAGGGGCAGCCGGCTCGCCGCCGCAAACGGGAGCAAGTTAGGCACCAGGTCGAAGTTTGAGATCCCTGGCACGTCGTCTTGGTTACTGCCTGGTGCCAGCGGTGCTGTGGGGCTTTGTCAGGGAAGGTCCCTTGTTATCCCACACTGTTCAAGCAGCAAGGAACCTCAGTCCTGAGTTCCGCCTGTGCTGGTGTCGCCAGGGCAGGGTGCTGTGCCTCCGGCTGGACGCGGGCACTGCTCAGAACAGTGGCATGGCCTTGTCCTCCACCGGACAGCAGCAGGAACAGGGGTGGCATGCCGCACGGTCCGGGGTAGCCAGGTGTGCAGTGCAATGCTGTCTGCTGGTGCCTCGTCCAGCCCGGTGTCTAGAAACTCCACACCAAGTTGCTTCTGCCATTCTCCTACGAATGCTGCTGCAGAAGGCAGTGCAGCTGTTTCGCACATTTTTCTCTTGCACTACAGCCTCAAAGCGTCTTTGTTTAATTGTGGTGAAGGTAGTGAGAAGTTTGGTGTACACCTTCAGTGAGGCACGCCACCGTCTTTCGGTGCGTTAAGGCAGTCGTGTTCCTTCACACGCACAGAAGCGTATCGTCCGAGAGGGCTGATGGTCAGTGGCCTCGTTCCGCAGAGAATTTTTTTAATAAATTATAAAAAACAATAGGGCAAACAAGCTACAGCAAAAGTGGTCAGTCTGCTGTCAGCAGTGGACTCCCGGGGTAAAGTTCCTTCCCTGTTAACGCACGACAAGAGAGGTCTGTGAGGTACAGTCGACTCCGTGCCTCCACGGTACTTTCAAAGAACCGCACTTGATGCTTGGACAGATTTCGGCTCTGAACTGCTGCCGGGGTTCTGAGGAACACTACACGCTACGCGTCAGTCGGCTGTGCTTCGTCCTGCCTCAGCGCTTGCCGTTTGTTTTACAGTTTATTTACAACCACTTTCAACATTCTTGTATCAAACATGAATTGCAAACGGTGTGGAATTGTTGTTCCTCCCTGATATTTTCGGTCTGTAAATGGTGTTCCTCTGTGTGTCCGAGATGAAGGTGTAGCGATGTGCTGCCACAGAGAGGGTGCCTGAGCAAGGCTGTGGCTGTGCTGCTGGACTTCTTCCACATGTGATGTACTTGAAGGAGGCCACCCTTGTCCACCTCCACGCTCATTCTTTTTTCTTTCTTTTATTTCTTTTTTCAAACCATTGCTGGTGGTGTTCTTTCATAGGTGTCTTATTTTGGTTTGGGATTTTTTTTTTTTTTTAATAGCTGCCACCTTTTCATTTCCTTCATTGGACAAGTCATCTTGTTTCGAGACCTGTACGTCTGTCTGGGTTTTGCATGTCCTGAAGAACGGAGGACCTGCTGGAGGAAGGTGTTTTGGACCAATGTACTTCTGGTTTGTGACTGTGAAATGTTGATCTTTTTGTAACCTAAGAACAAAAAATGTTTAGTAAAGGGATATATTTTGTGTTTTTTGAATCTTTTCAGTGCAATGAACAAGAGGAGGATGCTGAAGAAGTATATGAGCAAAGTTTTAAAATAAAATTTTAAATTATATACTACATATATATCCATCTATATCTGTAACCATTATTATTCAGCCCTGGTACTGAAGACTACCCAAGCCTCTGGGTGCGTATTGCTAATTGTGTGGTACGGACGGGCAGCACGCTCGGCTGTGCAAGGGAACGGACGATTCACTGACAATTGGGATTTTTTTTTTTTTTTAATAGCTGCCACCTTTTCATTTCCTTCATTGGACAAGTCATCTTGTTTCGAGACCTGTACGTCTGTCTGGGTTTTGC